GGCAGTTATTTTCTCCTTTGAATACTGCCCACCTGCAATAATGATTCCGTAACGTACTCCTTGCGCTATCTTTTGACCATTTGGCAACTTTTCGTTTCGTAGCTGACATGGTACAACACTTTTCTTTCGCTTACTTCACATGGCCAGTCATTTTGTTTACAAAGAAATGGTGTGCTATGCGCATGCGCTAGTAGAGGGAAATCCCTGAACAAAACGTTGGTCAGACAGGTAGAAATACCGATGATTTTCTGAGATTTAATCATTTATAAGAATCTATTGCAGCCAAATCCAATCGTTATTTTCCATAAGGAGTCTCACTTGATATGTTTAGGAAGTATTTGAAAAAAAAGACAAAAAATAAAGTTACTTCACCGTGATGCCCCTTTAAAATCATGTATCATATGCTGAATGTGGCCTATATTTCACGGTCCAGTGACTTTGACAGCATCGTCATCAATGTTAAGATTTTGTGTTTAGCGCTGTTTCTCAAAAAGTATAAGTGTTAGACCAACCAAACATGGACCATGCATGCATCTTATATTCATAACTCCCCATGGATTATAAACAATGCATAATATAATGACTGTGGTCTACATTTCATGGTCCAGTGACTTTCACAGCATCTTCAATGTAAAGTTTTTGCATTTATAGCTGTGTGTTATATGCTGTATCTCAAACATTTAAATTGATAGACTAAGGATTACAACGTCAATGATTTAACAGAATCAGACAACAAACATGGCCGCAGTATACTGGCTTCTGATTGGACGAAATTCAGATATTGTTCGATTTCGCTCAAATTTTATATGTAGGTGTATTTTGTCACTGCGAACTCAGCTGCATCATCCGTTTTCTGATTTGACAAAATGGCCACCTTATAATGGCTTCTGATTGGTCAAAATTCAGTTATTGTTCCATAACAATCGAATTTGGAAAATACATGCATTTTGGCACAGTTAACTCAGTCGCAAATTAACATCCGTATTCTGATTTGGCAGAAAATGTCTGCCGTATATTGGGTTCTGATTGGTAGAAATTCAGTTACTGTTTGATTTCGCTACAAAATAGTGTGTAAGTGCTAACTCCTCTGCAGCGTCCGTTTTCTGATTTGACAAAATGACCCTTATACTGGCTTCTTATTGGTCGAAATTCAGTTATTGTTCGATTTCAATAAAATTTGGTAAGTACATGTATCTTGGCACTGTGAACTCAGCTGCAACATTCGTTTTCTGATTTGACAAAATTGCCGCTGTAAATGGGTTATGATTGGTCAATATTCAGTTATTCTTTCATTTCGCTAAAAATTGACATCCGTTTTCTGATCTGACAAGATGGTCGTTTTATACTGGCTTCTGCATGATTGGTTGAAATGTACATGTATTTTGATTTTGCTCAAATTTGGTATGTGCATGACTTCCGTTCACCTATTTACATTTGTTTTTCCGAATGTGTGGGTATTTTGGGGGCATCTGTAATGGCGGTCTCTCATTACAATTAGCACTTGTGCCTTTTATACCTTCATGTTGGTGTATTGCCAAACTTATTTATGAAATGTGAAATTCCGAACTTTGGCTCAAACTTACCAAATGCTTGACACATTCAAATCTTATGCTCAAAGTGGGGACAGGCTAGACATATGATTATGCGTTATTCGTGTTGGTATACACAGGGAGGACCCACAGGATTCCCCAGACCAAGTTTCGGGACAAGACTTATCGGAGGGGGAATGGTGTAACAGCTTAGTCTCGGGACAAGACTTATCGGAGGGGGAATAGTGTAACAGCTAAGGAATATTAGGAGTAAATACAGCCTTACTGGCAAGTTAGCTTTTCTAGTGATGCGGTGTTACCAGGGGACCCACTCACTAGTTCAGCAACATCAAGTGTGGTCAGTAGTTGGATGGGTGACCGCCTGTACGTTACAATACTTCACCTGGTCACATTATACTGACAACGGGCTCACCAGTCCTATACTCATTATATTTAAAGCTGTATGTCGAGCAGTAAGTACCAACATAGAACAAAAGTATTGAATTGTGATCTATTGTTTAAAGTCACAGTTTCCCGATGTTGATGATGTGGAAATCAAGGAGATGGATGCCCAGATATCCCAGCTGTCTGACTTGGCCAAGGTGCGAGGGGATGAAGTCCGGAGACTTGACAGTGGTCAGTATGTCAGTATAAGGTAAACCTTCTGTCTGATACAGTGGTGAGCCTATGGTGGGAAATGTACTGGAGTAATACAGCATACTGTTGATTCCACTTAATGTCTCACAATTTCATTTGCAGAACTAAGATAGATAGCGTCTTAGCGTGTGTAGGCAGTCGTTCCCTCGGGAAAGACATGTTTATATTTTCAAGGGTCAATTCCTGTCTTTCACAGGCAAATATGGGGGAATATATGACTCTTTCATGTCCAGGGGGTGTAGGATAGGGAAACTCCTCCTGAGGGTTTTTCAAATTTGGTAAAACCTGAGGCTTTGAAGTTTGATGAGGGTTTTGCGAAATTGAATATTCCAAGGGTGGATTTCCCTATCCTACACTCTTGAGCATGAAAGAGTATTTTTCTCTCATTCCAACTACAAAAAGAAGCTCAGAAGCTATGAAAAAATGGTTTTGATTGGCTACCATTTGGAAAATACCGTTTTTTCCCTGAGCTTTTTTACGAACCTGTCAGCGAGATTTAGCATACCCCATATTCGTAAACACTGTTTGCGCAGAAAAATTAATCTCATCTTTCTAATGTTTATGGTAAAAATGTTGTAAGGTTTTAATTTCACCACGTCGCCTTTTCTGCATTGCGGCACCAGAATTCTTGACGTCACATCATTGTTGAGCCATTGTCAGGTCACATGACATATAGGGTGTAAGATAGAAATTTCCCCTTTCTTACACTGGATAGCTCTATCTTACACACACGGAAATGAGAGAAAAGGATATCTTCCCTTGGGAAGAGTGTGAATGCACCAGTATGGGGTAGGAGACATGGATATTTCACACCAGTAAAATTGGTACACTAGAAAGACTACAGACGCATGCTTTTACTCTGACAATATGACCATTTCACATAAGGATTGTATGTGCAACCATTCTACAATAAAATCATGACATCACTTTTGGCACATGTGTGTAAGAGGAATGAAACCAATAATGATGGCACTTTGTGCTGCTGACAGTACAATCTTGATCCCTCCTTACAGTATCCTGAGAGTTTGTGAGTAGATATCTAACCATGGGTATGAGATCTCCCTATCATATACTCATTGCTAACAGTATGAATGTTAAGTTGATGAGATGAGTTGTATGTTTGTAATAAAATCACTAACATTTTTTGTCTGTGAACTTATGATTGTCACTTCAATCAATTTTTTTTTTTACATTTATACAGAATTGAAAGGCCTAAATAACTCAATATCAACAGAAGAGGCCAAAACCCAGCTGGTAGAACTGGAAAAACAGGTAATTTTCTAACAACAACAACAACAACAAATTGTGAACAGGTTCATGTAGAACAACCAATAGGTGTTTATATGTGACGTTTCGATAAATAGGTAGTATGGTATGTACTCTCTGTCACCTTCATCAGATAAATGACCTGTGAAGCGTATGAACACAAAGGTGTAAAATATGCAATTCGACTATTTTTCCTAGAGTCATGACCCTTTAATCTTTCTGCTCCAGAAACTTATTAACCGCAACTTCTCCTTAACTGTTTGTGAGAACTTTTTGTAACTAGACACATTGAAAGTACATCATATGTAAGTGTACACAACGACAGTGATTTGTGATTTGATTGTTTTCCCTGGAGTTATGGCCCTTGAAATTTCAATTTCTGCTCAACAAACATCGTAAGCTCAGGTGGGGGATTATATCTTGGTTATCTCGCTCACAGGTTCACTAGTTGTCTGTTTGATTTTAGCTCACCTGCCTGAAGATGTTTTATATAATATTTTGCTATGATTGCTTAAATATCCTCTGGGCCTCTTGTTTTGAAACGTAGATGCGCATAAGGAAGTGATTTGTGATTCTGTTATTGTACCCCCTGTAAACAATGTTTGAATGCCATGATAAGACGAAGCAGCTGGGAGCATATCTTTGTCCCTAGTTTGTGTCTGCGTATATCTGAATCGTCTGCACTGCCTATATTTAAGGTTCCATTCTGCTGTATTGCATATGGAATTTTCACGCTATAATCATATTACATGTAGTTTTCAACAAACCCCCCCAAAAAAGTTCTTCCACAATTACTTTCTTGTGATTATTTGTTCCATGGAAATTAAGAATGTATCAATTATATAGATTTGTTGTTCCAGTAATTTTGTATTTTCTCTTTTTTTTTTAGTGTGACGCATGTAAACAAAAGTTGATGAAGTTGAAGGAAGGAGGAAATACTATTACACCTCAGGAAAAAGACATGGTACGGAGACTGAGAGAGTCACTTTGTTTCATTTCAGTTTAGTTTCGTCCTTAGTCCAGTTTGTAAAGTTTGGGGAAAATTGTAAAATATAGTATTAATCCACTGATTGATGACCATTTTCCCCACTATCAGGCCAGTGATTAAGAGAAATATCATATATCTCATTTGGGATAGATTACCTGTTTTCCCACACTTCTACCCAGCTGATGTTTTGGAGAAAGATTTCTTGTTTTCTATTACAAATGTCTCAGTATTACCAAGTTATGGTACTGTTCCGCAATTTGTTTATTTTTCTGCCAATGAAATAGGCTGGACTGTACCTGTTTACCTTCCCTACTCTCCCTAATACATAGACAAAGAGAACTGTTAACCCCCACCCCCTGATACAAAATAAATACAATTTAAAGGGGAAATAAACACTGGGCAAATTATGATTTGATCATTTCCTAGTTGCAGGAAGAATCTTTAAACTGGCAAATTTTTCAGTTATATACAATATCCTGGTAGGTTTTACTTTACAGTGAATCGTAAACAAAACTTCTGCTCTGTTAAAGTAAAACAAGACCATCACAGGTACGACAGATTCCTGTCTGTTTCACTTGTCTTCTCAACTCTTTTTGTTTCATCATAAATTTGCTCTTTGAATCTTGTGAGATCTTAACCATTCATACCTAAAGCCAGAAATTCTTCATTTTCACAGTTCTCCCATCCTCGATACTCCACGGGTAATGCTCACCCTTGCTCTGTGCTCTCTAGCTGCGTGCCTTCAATTTTGCTATGACATATATTCCAGGGGTGCAAAGAGCGAAAGTGATTATAATCCCCTGAGAATATTGAGGATGCAGTTCTCATTGATATTATGCCAGCTAAATCAAGTTTCCAGTTTTGCTGTACAATTTTCAATATTAAATTATCGAAATCATAGAAATTAATTATTAATTATTCTAAATAATGCAGTATATGGACATGTTGATGATCTTGTTACAGATTTACAATTCCCGAAAAGTCTTTGTCAAGGAATGGAGAAAAAGGAAGAGAATGGTGAGCTACTTATGATTTAAAATTTAAGTTACGACTTTTCTTTAAAATGCGGTTGATAATCACTTTATATTCATTTGATAAGTACTTGGTGACAATTTCTTAGGGCATACCTGCCAGGTGACCCAATTTCGTCAGGTTACACCCAGGATTTTAGCCCTTCACCCGCTTTGATAACTTCACACCGTATGGTGGTGTAGTGGACAACGCACTTGCCTTTCACTAAGACGGTGGGGTTTTGATTCCCCGATCGTACATGAAAAAGTACCTACCCGACCACATGGGGTTTGATTGCCCGATCAGACGTGAAAAGGTTCTTACCCGACCACATTGGTTTTCTGCGGGTACTCCGATTTCCTCCCGCATTAAGATCCTGTTTCGCGCTAACATCCGGGCCAACAAGAGTGAATAATATAAGTTGAAATTAATTGTTACATAATTATTCTTAAAAAAATAAAGAATATTTTGAAAAATACCTGATACTTCTAACTGAAATTTATCGACGTATTTTCTAAATACTTTATTTTTCTAAATCCCATATCATGTTGAAGTCATATAACACAATACACAGAGAAATGGACACACAACCTAAGGTTGTTTTGGCCATATCAGAGGACAGCCTATTGTAATATTGGTGAATACAGAGATTAGGGGTATATAGGAATCACCCTGTCCATTCGTCTGTCTGTCAATGATCCTTATAAGCCGACTCCTCCGAGAGGATTGCTTGGAATTTTTTTCATAACATGACAGAGAAAAAGTACACCATATGTAGATATGCATGAAAAGATGATTGTCTGATTTATCTATGTTTCCTGGAGTTATGGCCCTTGAAACTTTAAATTTCAACAAGCTGGTAGTATATATAGTTCACGGATTCTCTAGTTTTAATTTCATTAAACTTTCTACACATACGTTTATGCATACAAAACACTAAATTTACAACACTTACTTGACAGGCAAATGATATTATTGGTGCTATCCTGGAGGGCTATCCAAAAACAAAGAAACAGCTTTATGTAAGTAAATTATTGGTGCTATCCTGGAGGGCCATCCAAAAACAAAGAAACAGCTTTATGTAAGTATATTATTGGTGCTATCCTGGAGGGCTATCCAAAAGCAAGGAAACAGCTTTATGTAAGCATATTATTGGTGCTATCCTGGAGGGCTATCCAAGAACAAAGAAACAGCTTTATGTAAGTATATTATTGGTGCTATCCTGGAGGGCTATCCAAGAACAAAGAAACAGCTTTATGTAAGTATATTATTGGTGCTATCCTGGAGGGCCATCCAAAAACAAAGTAACAGCTATATGTAAGTATATCATTGGTGCTATCCTGGAGGGCTATCCAAAAGCAAGGAAACAGCTTTATGTAAGTATATTATTGGTGCTATCCTGGAGGGCTACCCAAAAACAAGGAAACAGCTTTATGTAAGTATATTATTGGTGTTATCCTGGAGGGCTACCCAAAAACAAAGTAACAGCTATATGTAAGTATATTCTTCAGAAAAAGTTTGTATCAGAGTTTCCTGTCGTCTGCTGGAGGTCACATGTACTCTGTTTGTGCTACGATACTTAAAAGCTAGGGAGATATACCCGGGTATGTGTTTGTATAGGGAGATAAAACGTGTATCCTATTTGTATCATTTGTACTTGAAGGGAGATATATGTGTGTTTGTATAGGGGAAATTTGGGGTAAATACATGTATCCTGTTTGTATTTGAGGTTAATATAGTTTGTAAAACTTTAGTAAATAAACAGCTAACACTGTTATAGCCGTAGTACAGATATAAATGTCAACATTTGTTAATAATTTCCAAAACTGATTTCTGTTTCAATTTTCCAGGAGTTGGTTGTCATTTCAGTAGTAGGGATTAGGGATACCTTTATCTATTTTGACCTTCTTCCTTTTTGATTCAGACAACATTAATGACTTTACACTTTGATAATTTTTATCCATTTCCAGGACGATGTTGGTATTGAGACTGATGAAGATTACAAAGTGTCCCCTCCAGAGATTTGAGCACTGCATGATTGTCAAAGACTCAACATAATATCGTTTGTTTGCCCTTTACTGATCAGAAATCAACATAACACCGTTTGTTTGCCCTATACTGATCAGAAATCAACATAATATCATTTGTTTGCCCTAAACGGATCAGAATTCAACCTCAACTTTGTTTGTAACATCATGCTACCTCAATTGGTACACTACCCAAATTGGTACACGGTCAGAAAATGGTTTGAATAGCACTTTAAAATGAAATTTAAGCATTTTCCTTTGACAGCAAAACAAAAGAGATATTTATCAGCATTTCCACCGAATAGTTTTGTTTTCAGGAATATTTTAAGAGTGCGATGACTTCAATAAGGTCTGATTAATATTCTATTTGTTTATGATTCACAGAATTGATTTTTTATGTATTTACTGATGACGCCATTGGTGTATTTGTATAAATATGAATTGTAAAATATCATACATTTATCACATTTTTACTGTCAAAACTATTACAATACACCAGGTAAGAATATATGTACAAACACGTTGATCAGTTGACTATTCTGGAGCTACCACTGCCAGAAATAAAATGGTAGGAAACTGTTTTTCTGGCATGTCTATAGCTTAAATAAATAATTTTTGAAACAAAACTGCCTTGTGGGACTTTTATGAAAATAATAAAGATGAAAAAATAAATATAATCTACAACAGTGTTTGGAAAAAGTTTAGCGGGGCTAAACCACTATTTGAACCCGAGACTTCAGATTGTTATACAATCGCTCTAAAAGATTGAGCTACCTAGTCAACAAAAGTGTCCTGGCTCAACTGTTCTACGGTTACATTAAAATGGAAATAAAGGGGAGGTTACTATGTATACAAAAACACAAAGTGCAGTGGGACAGGGATCCTAACACCCATAAAAGCATGCTACAGCTTAGAGTCTAAGTCTGAGGGAGACAATCTACCTGAGGAATGCTACTTTAACAGTGTTAGAGGTTTACAGGGCGAGATACTTTTGACATGCGCTGCGTAACGTCAAAATCATATCCGATAGAAAAAAGGCTGACCAGCAGCCTCTTATGTTATAGGGGTATAGGAATTCCCGTGCTAAGCCTTGTACTACATGTATAACTTTTTTGTTTCAACTACTGGTGATACATATGGGTTATATATATTTATATGACCTAGATGCTCTATACAGGTCAAGTGCTACCTCAGTGAAATGTAGCTTTTTAGATCAAATCACTCTTCAGCAACAATAATCAAAAGTAGAACTTAACTAACACAAGGTAATATGTTTGTTTGTTACCTCTGATCAGCAACGGCTGGTTTTGTCTGAAGTCATGGCTGTATATAATGTGTTGAACATTGACATTACAATAGTCAAGGACCTGCCTTCCACTGCTAAAAATTGGATGTCTGTATTCATTTGCTGTTTACTAGGAAATATTCACTGCAGTTAACTTTCGCTTTTCTCACCCTCCGCAGTGAGGCTGAATTTATCATTACAGAATATTGGTAGACAACACAATATACATAGTAATTAAACTTGTTGAAATCTACGCAGGGTGAAAGCTGATATAATGGTTAAAGTGGGAAAGTTTTACTGGGCAAAAGTTTTAGTATGAACTAATTGATCAAATCAAATTATATCGGTAATATTTTCAGCGATGAAGTAGTGGAAATGAGACGAAGGCGTCAAAATTTAATTCTTGTGTTTAGCTTAGTTTCACTGAAAGTATAAGTGCTAGACCAACCAAACTTAGACCATAGATACATCTTAGGTAGTACATCTCAACCCATGCATCAAATGCTGGATGTGGCCTACCTTTTATGGTCCATTGACTTTGTCAGCATCTCCATCAACATTAGTCATTAAGTTTTTGCATTTAAGTTAGTTTCTCTAATATGTGCATTGATGGTCAAAGCGGCGTACAGGCAGGACATATCAATCCAAATGGCTTGTTCCTAAATCAAAATATGTCATTGGATTTTTCTTTAAGTTTGATATTCATCAATCTTCTATTGTAATGAAGTTTGGTAAATATGATTCAAGTGGACATTAGTAAGAGGCTTCTGCTAGGCCACCTACCTGGGTATCTGTGTTGAAAATTATGTTTGTCATTAAACAAATATTTGATATAATGTATGTTAAAATTGGATGTTTCATATTCATCAATCTTCTATTGTAATGAAGTTTTGTAAATAAGATTTAAGTGGACATTAGAAAGAGGCTTCTGCTAGGCCAACTATCGGGGTATCTGTGTAAACCATGACAGCTAATGATTGGGTAGGTCTATCAAGTATATTGATATAATGGTGGAGTCCAGTGTTAGGAACCAGAAGTGACTCCAGTTTTAATACAAAAACACCAGAATACCAGCATTATTAAATACCATGCTTCCTCCTAACATAATGTAACCTTTTATAGACTGAACAACAAAACTGGTTTTACAAGACATACAATACATTTGTACCTCATTGTATTCATTTTCTAACTGCTACTGACAATTTACATACAGAAGTTACTGCCCTTTAATAAGAGGTTGAAGCCTCGCCAACAGACATCGTTAAAAATAATAACATCTTTGTATTTATTTGTGAACCCAAACAGTCGGTAGTAGTGTTAAATGAAACTACAGTTCGTTTATTTGTATATATTCATTAGTGTAAAAGCACTACCTGTTATTAATGATGTTTTATAACTTATTAAAGTTATAAATTGACAAACAAATGTTTTTGTTTTCTGTAAAAAGAAATAGTCCTCGTCTCTTACACCTATGTTTGAGGAAATATGTAACCTTAAGGTGTTATGTTACCTTACACATTATAGATGTGATTTGTA